AGCGTACGTAGCTAGATCTCAGTGGTATTTAAACACTTTGATAAACTAGCTAATTAACGATCTAAATACAGCTAATAAGTGAGTATGATTTGAGAAATATAGTTACTAGTTCCAAGATGGTCAAAATCCTTTTGTTGTCCTTAATTGTAAAGACTTATTTGATATTTTTAACCATAGCTTTTAATAACGTTTCTCTGTATTAATTCGATTGATTCATTGTCGCGATCAATGTTCATAATATGCATTGTTGGGGAGGGCCGTAAACGATGCGTTCTGATGCGTTCAATCTTCTCAAGCCGTTTTTTTTTTTTTTTTTTTGCTCGCGCTGAAAAGGTATACCATGGAGTTAATGATGGTAATTGAACTGAGTGGAGTGCAATTTGGTCTGAAATCAAACGCGCATTTACAAAATCGCACGAACGCGTAGTGCGAGTGCGATTTGTAATTGCAAGTTTGATTTCAGACTAAAAATTGCATGACACGAAGTTCAATTACCACTTAATCATATCCTTTTTGTAATCATGCACAAGAAAAAGACACAATAAAGAGTGCAGAATAATCAATTTAATGTAGTAGAAGAACTTAATGCAAACAAAAAAAACATCTAAAAAAAAATTTTTTTTTGTTGATTTTTTTTGTTTTATTTTATCTTATTTTATTGTTAAAAAAAAAAAAAATTAGGATGCGATTAAGAGTTCCTAAGGATGCAATTTGGGAATTAATCGCACTCCTTTGAACCAATTTGATTGCAGGATTTGGTAGCGATTACAAAAAGGATATGATTAAAGTCGCAAAGGCTTTCGTACAATGAAATATTCGACATTGATTTTGATATCATTCTTCAACACGTCCTAAAACAAAACGGCAACAGATAAGATAGACAAAGAAAAGGAAGCTAAGAGATGTTTCTTGTGCACCTATGAACCATGGCTCGATCCATAACCATGCTGAATTTTGCATACAAAGCGAAAGTCAATTGTCTGAAAACTTAACCGAACTAAGGAATTTTGTGCTTTTCTTGATTTCATACATGAGGAAATTGGTTGTCAAGGAAATTACGTTGCTTTGAACACAGAAACTTGACATTAAAAAAGTTTCAATGGATGTGTAAACAGCAACTACAACTTGATCGCAGAAAAAAAAGTCAAGGAAAACTAGTTTTTGGGTTTCAAATTCCACGGAAACTTCGCTTGGGGATTGGACGAGGTTTAAATAAAGGCGCGACTACACGGAGGAAATTTCTCTGCAACTTGTTTCGCAACGGCGTTGCCACCCAAGTTGCATGGAGCATTGCAGCCTGTAACCTACAGCGCAATTTGAAAAAAACATTGCGAGACAAGCTGTAGCAATCGTTGCCAAAAGTAGAATTCGTTTCTACTTTTGGCAACGGTTGCGTCTCTGTTGCACTGTGTTATCACTCTTGCAATTTGTGACGCAACGCCGTTGCGAAACAAAATACAGAGAAAAATGCACCGTATAATCGCGCCTTAACGGCTGCAGCAAATTGCCCAGTTTTATTTGATATCTTTATCACTACTCCCATACGATCTGCTTTCTTTGCGGTTTAAAGACTGAGGAGATTCATCACCATAAATATTATTCACTCTGTTACCTGTATGAACAACTACAGACCTATTTCTTTACTCTCAATATTCAACAAAATAATGGAAAAACTTGTGTATAAGAGATTGATTTCCTTTAGTGACAAGCATAATATCTTGTATGAAAATCAATATGGCTTTAGGGAAAATCATTCTACATTACACACTACACTCCTGATAACAGATAAAATACAGCAAGCAATAGAGGACGGCCACTTCTCCTGTGGGATTTTCCTAGACTTCTCAAAAGCCTTTGATACTGTTGATCATGGAATTTTATTAAAAAAGCTAAGCAATTATGGAGTTAGAGGAGTAGTGCATGATTGGTTCACCTCCTATCTTAATAATAGAAGGCAGTTTGTTTCGATTGGTAATATCAAATCTGAAGAGGAAATTATCACCCATGGAGTCCCTCAGGGTTCAGTGCTAGGTCCACTTTTGTTTCTTTTTTATATTAATGACTTTAGCAATTGCTGTAGTTTATTTGACTTCCATATTTTTGCAGATGATACTAATTTATTTTACTCAGATTTCAGTATGACTAAACTTGAAAGTGTGATTAATGCTAATCTGAAACTTGTCTCTTGCTGGCTTATGGCAAACAAACTATCATTGAATATCGATAAGACAAACTTTATCATATTTCACCCTCCACAAAAACCAATAAACTACAAAGTTCGATTAATGATCAACAGCAAGATGATAAAACAAGAGAAATATATCAAATATCTAGGTCTACACATTGACTCCAATTTAAGCTGGAAATTCCACATCTTACATATAACAAAAAATAAAATAAATAAATAAATTAAACGCAGTATCGGAATCCTCTCAAAGATTAGATATTATGTAAGCCGGCAAGTACTCGTTCAGCTTTATTATACTTTGATTTACTCTTTTTTATCTTATAGTTGCATCACCTGGGGAAATACTTATAAAACTTCTCTTCAGCCTCTTATTACTTTACAAAAAAAGATAGTGAGAATAATTACCTTTTCAAATTACGACTCTCATTCCAGTCCACTCTTTTTCAGTCTAGGAATACTTAAATTGGAAGACTTGATATACTCAAATAGTGTTCTTTTTATGTATGACTATAATTCAAGCAGACTACCAAATACGTTTATAAACTTTTTTAAAAACATACATGAAGTACATCAATACAACACTAGATTGGCATCTAAAAAAACATATTATCTTCCCAAAATAAGAACCAATTATGGAAAATTCAACATTCGCTTTAATGGTACTAAAATATGGAATGCAATTGGAGAATCTCTCAAATCTATGACTCGCAACCTTTTCAAAAAAAAAATCTCTATAATATCAAATTATTGATAGTTCTATGATGCACTTCTAGTCCAGCTGATAGGAGCACAGCCCATTTTGTCTTGTCTAATGTCTTGTCTTGTCACCGGCTTATCTTGTCTTGTCGGTTTTTTGTTTTTGTCTTGTCTTGTCTTATCCATTGCTTTAGTCAATCAGCAACAAATAGATTTTCTCCGCATGGCCCAGCCACTTAGCTCGATTAGCTGTTGCTATTTCTAATTGGCTGTGCTCTTATCACCTGCAATTTCAACTATTATTATTTATATCTGTAAACTATTGAGCACAATAAAGATTGATTGATTGATTGATTGATTGATTGGACAAAAAATTGTCATGAGAATCGCATAGAAAACTAATCCGTGCGTGTAAAAGCAGCTTTTCATTGCCAGATGTATTTTCTCTGACGGTTTTACAACGTGAAAATAAGGAAAATTCATACACAAAGTTAAAGATTGTGTTTACGCAATAGAAAATGAAGAGAAGCAATCCCTACGCAATTTTCAGATTGCTACTTCAACTTCCTGGTCTTCACGTTTATTTTGCCAGGCTTTCGACCTACACGGTCATTTCAGGGCAGAGTCGAAATGAGAAAAACGTAAGAAAATTAGAGCAAACAATTCCTTTTTTTCTTGGTTAATCGTTAAGTGGTGGCAGGAAATTCGGAGGACAATAGTCGATATAAATTAAAGTGCCTATGACATCTTACTCGACATTTTCAGTATTGAGAGATGAGGCGGTAAGCCGTGTATTGATTCAGTACATGAAGTGAATAGTTGAATGTTGAAATATTTTTATATGATTTGAGGGATTCATCTTGAAGATATCAAGGTTTATACTTTCAATATGCTGTGTTATGTCATTATAGGAATTTATTTGAGTTTATTTATCATCATTTGTAGATTAAAACACTGATTATTATTAGAAAACCAATTTTCCACACCCTTTCTATAAACCCTGAGTAAGACAATAATGTTTTATACAGGATGTTTTACTGCCTCAGAAAAGTTTCGCATATTTAATGAGGCCTCCTTTGAGAAGGAGCCACGCAATTTGATATACAGAGCTAAGTGATGGCGTCTCTTAACGTAACAAACACGAACACGACAAGCCCGTCGATTTTTTCAGGAATCCACATGTGTAGTAAGTATATTGATGAGTTGAAGGATCCCGAAAAGGCAACTCCTGCTTCCATGGCAGCATCCTACTCTGTTGTGGCTGCAAGCATCTTGACTTGTCCATTGACTATCTTTCTCAACACTTTGATTCTTCTGGCGTTTTATACCAAGCCAACTCTCCGAACACAATCCAACTTTCTTTTCGGGGCCATCACGGTGAATAATCTGGTGTACGGCGTGATTGGTTGTCCACTGCTTTTGGCCAAAGAAATCACGTATCTAATGAGACGTCAACAAAACTGCCATTTGAATTTTATTGTGTTTAACACTCTATCCCCAGTTTTGGCCACTCTGCTTACAGCATTGAACTGTGAGCGCTTCCTTAGTCTTCAGTTCCCAGTTTGGCACCGAGTCCACGTAACCAAACGTCGGCTCGCGTTTGTTGCCGTCGTTTCCTTTGTCGTTGCCCAAAGTATATCGATTTTGCGAAGCTTTGTGGAGGAAACAAGAGTTTTGATGATGCCTTTTATCGGCACGTGTACCGTGGCAACATTAATTTTTGCTACTCTAATCTGGCGTGTAATTCGTCGACGAAATCGACAGACTCAAGCCCAGAAGCAAGAGCAACCAAGCCGCGCTTCAAGATCCGAAGCAAAAGCAGCAAAGATTGCCACATATCTTGCCTTGTCGTTTCTCTTCACCAGAGTGCTTCCTCTCGTTATGGTGGCATCCATGATAACAAAACAAGGATGGGTGAGCATAGTAATGGGAATTATCTCCATGGACGTTTTCATAAATCCCCTGATTTACGGCCTTATGAACCAGAACATCAAAAAGGCGTGTTTGGAAATAATCAAATGTAACTGAACTTTGGTAGAAGGTAAAACCGCCCGAGAAACAAGTTTCAAGATGAAAAACGGATGACTGAAAACCTTGAACTTAAGAAAACTTGAACTTATTAAATGTGATTGAAAAGTGTTAATATTATAAGAGTTTAGTAAAATCGAGATTCTGTAGCTGGATTTTGTTGTATTGTAACAATCATAATTTAACGACATCGATCTTTTGTCATATGGCCTTATAACGTTAAATCGTATCGTCCTTGTTTCGCGAGGACATATTACCTAATAGCCAGTAGCTAACAAATCCGTCGCCCTCGTTCCATGATCGAATTGTATTTTAGAAGCTGTTTTTGGGAGAGCGGAGGAAAACTGGAGAATCCGCAGAAAAATCGAACCTGGGTCGCATTGATGAGAAGCGAGCGTTCTCACCGCTGCGCCACCCGTTCTTCGCTTTATAACTAATGAATATTATGAACATTAGCAATAAATGAATTCATAGAATAGTTCTTTGGGCCAATTTAACCTATATTCTCTTACGTAGTTTATATTAAGTGTATTCGAGTTATTTAATCTAAACGACCATGATTTCTCAATGTACATAAATCAAGTAAATTATCTATATTAGATTAGCCCCCGTTGTTGTTATTGGTACCAAATAAACATATTCTGTTGTATGCAAGCCGAGAGAGGCTGGAACCTAGCTTTTGTTTTTCCGGAATTAATTAGTTTTCTACGCATTTTCCTTGAAAGCTTTTTTCCAGTGGTATATGGATACTATGTGGTGATGGGTGTTCTCCGAGCCGTTTTGACCCGGAAGTCATTTTTTTCTATACGAGTGACGTCGCACTCAATACTGAGCTCTATTTAAAAAAACAAAGGTATTTTATGACCGGTTTATCACAGGTAACCCGGTAAAAATGATGAGAATGCGATGATGTCCCTTTCTCAAATTCCTAGAAACGCCTCTGCTAACATCTTAAGGCAATTAATTCCCTTGTTTTGCTATGCGCATGGGAGTAAAATTATGAAATTACACAGTTTGCCCATTTTCCTTTCATATACAGGGTAAACAATCTTCGAAATTCGGGGGAGATATTTTACTCACGTATTCGATAGGCAGAAATTATTAGACAGAAAGGCAAACAAGTCGTAAACTGGGCTATCTGCTTATTATCTCATGTATATATATATATATGGTTTTCAGATGCGACTACAAATAAACTATGGATCGCAGATGTCAATACCCTGACATTCAACACCGATCAACTAAATGGCGAAAGTCATATCGAACGTGCTGAGCTGCGCCTTAAACCAGAGTCCCTCTCAACCATCACTCCCCCAGGATCCAATCTGGAAATCTGTTTAAATGCACAACCGCAGCTATCACGAGAATCCAACGACACACTCTTCAGGGAATGCTCACAAGTTCTTCATTCCAGGTTCGTTACTGCACACGAAAATGCCTTGATTAGCATTGTTATTACCTGTATTATAAAAGATTGGATCTTCAGGTCTGTGTCCAATAATGGCATCAAAATCATCCTCAAAAACCAGGATACAGAGAAAGAAGGTAAGAGTAGAGATGAATCCTTGGGGTCGGGTCCCTTCGTCCTGGTTTGGTACATCCCAAATGATAGGTACGAAATCGAGAAGCGAAGGCGAAAGCGTAGAGCGTTAGATTCTGCGTTCTGTAACAAGCGTCCTAAAGAAAAACGTTGCTGCCTTCGACCACTATATATTGATTTCCAACGGGACTTACGATGGAACTGGATTCACGCCCCTCTTGGTTTCCATGCCAACTACTGCAAGGGCAAGTGCCCCTTTATGTGGAGTATGAACAACCAGACCCACCATACGTCAATCATGGCTTTGTTCAACTCACTCAATCCCGACGCCCCTAGCGAGCCCTGTTGCGTCGCGCAATCGTACAAACCACTGGTGATTTTATATTACGACAAGGGGAAGCCTAAGATTGAAGAACTTAGTAACATGGTGGTGTCATCTTGTACTTGTATCTAAACGTAACAAATTAAAAAAAGGCAGGCACACAGAAAACCCAATCTGTAGCGTTAAATCTTGATTAGCGACAGCCTTGTGACCCATTGTAAACATAACTTTTGCTGGAATATATTCCTCGTCCAGGTTTAAGCACAAACAAATGGCGGATATCATATAGACAATACAATACAATGCAATACTTACCTACTAGTCTGACAATGCATTTGATTGACATAACTAAGCCTGCATTTTGAGTCTTATACAAATGACAAGACCCTATGTAATTCCTCTAACAGAAAAGGTAAGATTTTACGAGTGCACTGAACATTTTATAGTTCTGTTGATAACAAATCTGTAGCTCTCGTTCTATATTCATATAAATGATTTGATTGACTTTGAATTTAAATTTGGAATTGTACTTTTGAGAGTATCAACATTGTTCGTCTTTAAACTGATTGTGCTGTCTCAACTTTTAATATATTTCGAAGACTTTTTTGACAATTTTGAAGCTTTCAACACATTTATTGTAAATATGTACTGACTCTATTACCATTATTACACTTGTAATATCTGTGTGACAAATAAAAGAAAAAAAAGTAAAGTATTTATTGGCAGCCGCATCGCTTAACGATGTTTATCATCATGCTCGTCTTTCCATCAGCATCCAACGTGAAGCGGCTTTTAAAGACCCGAGGAAGACAACGGGTCTCTCCTCTTTTCTTGACTTGAACGTGCAGACAGTGCGTGATTTGCCGCTAGAAGTACGTTGTATGGCCCTAGGGCACGGAGAAACATATGGTTAGTGCTTGTCAGGAAGAAAATGAATTAAGGAACAATAGTTTGCCGCTGGAAGTAAGCTGTATGGATCAAGGGCATGGAGAAACATACGCTCAGTCTTACCAGGAGGGAACTTTATAAAGGCAATAATGTCGTAAAAAAAGGGAGCAAAGCGCATTGTATACAAACCAGGGTGTGTAACTAGCTGTATCGTTCGTGCAGAGCCCAGCAAGAGGAGACTGATATGTATGGCAGGGGAGTAACCAGGGATCTTGCAGGAGAGGTGCACAGGCAATGATTTGCAGAACCAAAAAGAAAAAAAAGGTAACCAAAGAAAATTAGCAGAACCAAAAAAGAAAAAAAAGGAATAATGGGTGAGTGATTCTTAAAACTGTTCAGTGCAATATGCAGATGGAAAGTGGTCTTCATCTAATCAAAAAAAACCATTTACATGCAATTTTAAAGCAAAAGGAGGTGGACCTTTTGCTTTTATGGGGGAGGGGGGGGGGATTGCACGTGCACCCTGTGCTCCCCCCTGGTTACAGTCCTGTATGGGAGTACATAAAACTTAAAATATTCTTCTAGTTTTACCAGTAGATACAGGAGCTGGGTCTTTTCTTGTAGCACTGACCAGAACATTTCCCAACATCAATTACCTGTCGTACAAAACGTATAAAGGAACCTGACTATATTAGTTAGGCAAGTACTATAAGTCCACTCGGTAAACATTTCATTTGGGTATACTGCTTTCCGTTTCTTTAAAATTTTGATTCGATAAGGTTAAGAACCAACCATCATGTGAACAAAGCAGCTTGTTTTTTGGTTCTATTTGGTTCTCTGCTCGGCTTACCCGATAAACTGTTCTATTGCTGTTCGTTGTTTTATCGAACTGTCTTGTTCTGAAGAGTTGTTTGTGAGACACGCGGTAACACGTTCGGGTACATGCGCACTTGGTTATCTTCTTGACGCATTGTGCACCTGTCAATGGATCAAAGAAAATAGATACAACTGAATACAAGTCATTTTTTCTGATATTTAAAATAGTATATATCCAAGCAAGACCTTCAAGGGATCTCGTTTCCCACGGTCAAATCTTTGCAATTTCTTAAGTCATGCACATACATACTTGTGTATCTCTGAGCAAATAATAGAATAATAGTGGCCGGCATAACGCGTGGTCTCAATGGTAAAGAAAAACATGATACTTCAGAGAATGACAAGTGATATTGGAAATGGGATAGCTGTGGAAGACAGCGAAAGAAATGAACTTTACCCAGCGAGAAAGTCATGAATGTTGGAATGGGGGATCATTGATATGGGGGGTTATGACCGGTTACCAAGTTCCCCAATATGTCTGCATTAGAGAGATTTTCAGTAGAAGATGATTACTCACCATTTGGCCCATTAACGCTAATCGTAGTAGTAGACACCGCTTTGCATGTCTTCTGTCCTGATCATAATATATGGTGGTAAAATAAGTTAAAATGATTGTATCAAATGATAGGTACTAGAAGTATGATCCATGTATGGTATGTAACACTGCAGAATATTTCGTGTGTGCTATGAGCATGTTATAAGACCTCATCATTTGGAAATTGGTTTTGATTGCATCCTTCATAGTAATGCAAACCTCCTTTGTTAGGTTAGGTTTAGTTTAATCATTTGGAACACCGATACATTGTCATTTTATTCCTGTGTATTGTTTTTTAACAATTAATGAAACTTGTTAAAAACGGTAAAGATCAGAACAAGGGCACTAGGACACCGAATGTGGTTGGATTTCTATAGTTTTTTTTTTTTTCCTTTCGATTATTTGAATTAAATTAACGTTATACTTGTTTACTTATCTTGTGTCCGGCGTCCTTCGTTCGCTGTTGTAATGCAAACGTTTTCATTCCAAAGGTCAAACGGTTWGAATAGCCTATGAGCGTTACTTCTTTAACGGCCGTTCCGTACTTGACTCTGTTTGTACTATGCCTACCCCGGGGCTCTATATGAAACTTAAGGTGAATTTGATTAACTCTGGACGGTTGAATATTACTGACGTAAGGAGCATCGCGCGGTTACGTTGTTGTTGGTATAGTACAAACAGAGTCAAGTACGGAACGGCCGTTAAAGAAGTAACGCTCATAGGCTATTCAAACCGTTTGACCTTTGGAATGAAAACGTTTGCATTACAACAGCGAACGAAGGAMSMCGGACACAAGATAAGTAAACAAGTATAACGTTAATTTAATTCAAATAATCGAAAGGAAAAAAACCTATAGAAATCCAACCACATTCGGTGTCCTAGTGCCCTTGATCAGAACGCCCATGCCAGTCAGCTGAGTTGACCTTCAACAAACTTGAGGTCAACCAATGAAAATTGAGGATTCAACATTGTATTTTGATTAGCATTTCCCGTGAATTTGCCAAGAGAAACCATGAAATACGAATTCTTCATACAGTCGAACGTTAACCTCTATTCAGCGGTCTCCCCTGGGGAAACATCAGGTGACCGCTTAATACAGGTCAAGTTTACAGTAAATACAGTAAGAAAAGCGAATTTCGGGAAATTATTAAGTGACCGCTTAATAAAGGATGACCACTATATAGAGGGCCGCTTAATAGAGGTTCGACTGTATTTTGAATTCATCGTAAATGCTTGTCGAGCTCATTCATAGTGGAATAGTCCAGTTTCGAATTCCAAATTACCGCTGTGTTCCTTGATTACAGACTCATTTGCACAGTGTTAGCCTCGAATCAGTGTCTAATATTCACAAATACCAATGGTGAAGTAAAGAATGCACAACTTCAACAATACAAACACTTTGAAACTCGACGGACCTTGACTGGAACACGCGAATATTCTGCACAAACTCGAGGCTAACCCTGTGTAAATGAGTCTGTAATCAAGAGACACAGCGGTAATTTGGAACTCGAAAAGGGTCTATTCCATTTCAATCGACAAGAGGAATTTACATTGTAGCCAGCTCATGCTAGGGAAATGCTAGTCAAAAAGAGTTGGTCCATAATTCCTTTCGAGCAATGCTGTCAACTCGAGCTGGAGATATATTGAAATGATATTGTGTGATTATAACTGAGCACGGTGAACCTGCAAGATTTTACTTGCCTTTGGCACAGGTCCCTACACACCGTCCTACATCCATCGTCGTCTTATAGTAAGATCCAGCATGATAAGTATGGAAGCTAGACACACGCCTGCATGCTTGACTAGGGTCAACACATGTACAGTGTACAGCACTACTCGCTGTTATGATCCCTGATATGGTACTTATATCATGTAGCTGACTCTTGGATGCGAGACAAAGATGGTGAGAAGGACAGGAGGAAGGCTAGAAAATGAACCAAAATAGTGATATGTTATTTGAGGAATGAATTACTAAATGATTGAAGAAAGAAAGGATAAATGGGAAAAATAAGAACGTCAGTCTGTTGTGCGGGAGGTCGTGGTTCAAGCCTCAGCCATGGTCCAACACTCAGGGTCTTAAAATAACTGAGGAAAAGGTGCTGCCTTTGTAATTACATCTGCAAATTGTTAGACCTTCACGTGGCTCAAATGTCCACGTTAATGTCGGTCCCGTCCCTAATCAACTAGAGACGTCAAAAATTTTCAATTGCTGTCAAGTGTCATTCTCTATAAACAAAGTTCATTTATTTTATTTTTTGTATTGAATAATCCGACATTAGCTGCAATCTTTGAATTAGTCCACTTACGGATGACAAAAAAAAAAAGTGTTTACAATTAGACATACAATTTCACACGCCAACAACAACAACAACAACAACAACAATAACAACAACAACAACAAAAACCGGAATCGAGGTACCTTCGTTACGCTGGTAAATCATTTAGTTCGGGAAAACCTATTAAGGGATTGACGTTGAACCTGGGCAATCGATCGATCATATCAAAGCCGATGATAAACTTTTGAACCGAATATTGTAAGAATGCTATATTGGCTGCTGCTAGCGCATGGACACTATTTATTGCTCGATGCAACATACGCCCATTATTCTGTGAAATTCAATTTAATGTCAGTGATGAGTTTTAATCAATAAAGATTAACTTAGTCGTCTTACCTGGTCTTCCTCGGAGGAAGATAGCGATTGAACCTTGGCGCATTTTCCTATTCCTCGTTGGATGAACTTCAGATCTTGTCCTAAGGAAATCCACCAGATATATTAATATTCTCAATTTTATATCCTGATCACTAGATACAAAGGGTAAAACGGGCAGAGAAATGCCATACTGACCTTGTGCAATATTCGTCTTTTGTACAGACACTTTGCAGTATGATGGCCTGGCATCAGTATGATGATCTTGATCAGGATGATGAACTGTGTTCAATAATGTTGCGTTCAATGAGGAAAAAGATTTTACGTGCGTTGGCAAATATATGTATTTAACC